AGTTTGTTTTTGCCAAATTTTGTTCCATTGATGTTCAGAACTTTAGTGGTTACTTGAAAAGAAACTGTTATTGCACTCTACAAAATGTTATGTCCTATCTGTTTGAATGATTGCTATCTGCTAAAAGCTTACTGCAGATGGCAGGATGTGTAAACAAAGGACACATTTACTAATCAGAGATTATTGCTTAAAATTTTTTTTAAAAAGAAGTTCACAAGGAAAAAAGTATTAGGTTAACGTAATGTAAAAACTCCTCACACTCTTCAAAACTATCATGGGAAGTATTTTAAGTTAAAAATTTTAGTTAAATATTATGTAAGATATGATTATTATGTACAACACTACATGTAGCTGGCTTGCATTTAGTGAATAGCTAGTAATTTAAAAACTTAAAGATAAAGAGAGTAAATAATAACATTAGGTAGAGTGAAAACATTTAGTGTAATTAGTCACTTAAGGTTTTTGAAGGTGAAATCCCAGGTAAAATAAAAGTTTATTTGTAGCTCATATTTTATTTGGCTGCCAAAACTGCCAGTGATCTGTTTTATCTTGATATGAGATGTTATGGGAAGTTTTTGATGAAAGATGAGATGAGTTCATTGGAAATAGATACTGACAAAGTAGTAAAAAATTTTCCTTTGACTTCCCTTGTACTACATGCCGTTCTTTGATAGCTTAAGTATCAGACTCCCTGAGGGGGTGGGGGTGATATGGATGAGAAAGAACCCCAAGCTCTCGCTCCACCCCTCCACCCTTTTGTAGGAAGGCCTGGTACTCTGGTTACTCTTTGATCATTTGGCACGGTTGGGATAACTAGACGAGCATATCAAGGCCAAGACACCTCCCTCAAAACAACACACAAACAAAACTTAAACAATAGATGAGGGAAATTTGAAGGATCAGCAAAGTCGTCTATGTCACTAACGAAGTAATAACATTCCCTGTCCACATTATCAGCTCCTGCTGATAACGTGTAGAAATACGTGCAGCAAGTAATTATAATGGAATGCCTACTATGAAAATCAAAGTAACTGAGGAGAGCTTTTATTAATCATTTGTATGGGAAGATAGTCTTGGCGAGACTACACCCCAACAATGGCAGGTGAAGAAAGGCCGAAAACACATGGCCCCATATGTGAAATATACAAAATTGGAAACAAAGTTCCTTGTTGCGCGAGTTATTCACAGTGATTTCTCAATCATCATCCTTCCCATGCTTGATTATTCTTGTGAACTTCACGTAATTGAAGTTGCCTTTGGAATCTACTGGAGCCCCATGCAACATTTCATCGATTTCTGCATCGGAAAACCTGTTATGTGAACGAAAGAAAAATTCAATAACGTGACTAATTGTGAAAACAAACACCGCGATTTACAGAATGTCGAAAGGAATGTTGGGCATCTGGGTGTTAAAAACACTCGCTTTGATTGCACTGATGTTCAAAAGAACATGAAACTTTTATCAGCCAAATCGAGTTTTGAAGAGATATGCTCATGAAGCTCTTAACGGGATTTAGATAAACGAAATTGTACGTTTCATTGTAGATATGTCAATTACATTCGTGTTCGATTGGAAGATCACATTTTGTGATAACGCATTCAGATTTGATGGGACAAACAAACATTTTGAAAGTAGCCAGAAAAATACCAAATCTATTCGAAAAACATAATTTTATAGAGACGAACATTACAATAGCTAAAAAGTGTTCAAGATAGCATTTGACAGTTTTGACAAACGAACATTTCAGTACAATAAAGACAAGCATAGTTCGATTTCACGGTGTTGTGAACAAGGCTAATTGTTCATGTCTGTGACAAGCATTCTAATCATCAATTGATCACATCTGTTGCACAAATCTCGAAAATTCCCAAGAAAAATATTAATTCTAACTCCAAGCCTGGATTTTTAAAGGAGTGGAATTGATTCTCAACGCTAGCAGTGGGTGATTCTTACAAAAAGAGAAAACAAATCAACTGCGATTAATTACAAATAACAGTACGTGCACGCAAAGAAAAGGTTTCAAACATTTGTAGAGTTCTTTACACGACACAAAGGGGAGTTCAATTCGCGCTATAAAACTCACGCTGGGCAATAACTGAGCAAAATGTTGTAAGTTATATTAACAAAGATTACTTTACCTATCGCCTAAAGTTTGCAGCAAATCGACCAATCTATCCTCTTGCAACTGGCCAGACTGCTCCTCGTCAAAACACGCGAATGCATTCCTAATGACGTCCTCAGGGTCGGTTCCGTTAAGTTTCTCTCCAAAGAGGGTCAGAAACATGGTAAAGTTGATGGCACCGCTGGCGTCGTTCAACATGTCTTCCACGTAATCATCTGTAACTTCTTTGCCCAGAGAGGCAAACATATCTTTCAGGTCAGCCGCGTCAATAAAGCCATCACGGTTTTGATCGATCATGTTAAATGCTTCTTTGAATTCTTGAATTTGCGACTGATCGAACATTGCAAATACATTAGAAGTTGCTCTCTGAGCTCGCTTCTTGGTCGATTTCTTCGTCTTGGCCTTGCTGGACATTTTGTTGTTGCTCTACTAATTCGTGTAAAGGAACGCACCGATTGAGGCTTCAGGCAAATTAAATTGTGAATGACAATGTGTTCATTAGAATATGGGATGGTTACTTGTTGGTTACACCCAAGCGTAAGCAAACCAAATATGGAAAATGATAATTATCTTAAGGAATTTTTGCGATAGTGAAAGATTTCACTCCTTCGATTTTCGAACTTTCCCGAAATTAATCACAACGCATCTGAAGTGCATTAGCTGAGCCTAATTATTAGAAACATGATTTTCCTAAACAGTTTTTCACCATACTAATCAAGAGAATTAAGATGTTATACCTAATCAATGTAACGCAACACCATATCGCCTCTAGTCTCCCTGGCAACCTTAACTCAGTCGCGTCACGTAACTAATTCTCATCCCCATCAACGGTAGAGACGCGCCATGGGTAACCAAAATCAATTTTATGGTCATTTGACAATATTAGTATTTTCGATCTTTCTAAACTTTGAATAGTGCGCAATTCTTTAATCCTGGAAAAGTAGTCGCAAATGAGGTGTCATGCGTGACAGTGATAAGAATAGCGGTAATTTCATGTGTTGTACACAACGATTACTTTGACTTCTAGGGCTCATCGATGTTTTGTTCCTTTGCTGGTTGCAAATCGTAGGCTAAGATAGGTGGAGAAACCAACGCTTGCAGAGGCAGAGACTGCTTCAACCGATTCACGCCAATCACAGCGTTGTTGTGTCGATAGAGTGCCAAGGGAAGACGTGAAAGCACAATCAAAACTGGTCTTCTTCGACAACATCTAACCAGGACTAACCACGCAGTAAGTTTGTGTTTGTGACAAATGTGATCTTCATATCAAGAGTCCCTCGTTGTTTTCTGCTTTTCAAAATATCTTCAAGACACCAAAACATCCTCCCATCCATTTCCTATACTTCTTGATGTTCTAGATTCAATGATTTAACTATTACGTTTGATATTATAGTTTATCAGACGATCTTTCGATGTTAGGTTTGTTTATAGGAAACTTGTTACTGATAAAATTTGGTCCGTGAGATCATTAATTGGACATCAGAAGACATTTATTTTAAGGGTGCTGTACAGAAAGGACTCAATCCCTGGGGATTGCTTTCCCTTCACTACCGCCTAAGCCGGAAGTTGGGTATCAAATTTCCAGTTTAATTCAGTCCCAAAATTTATATCTCCTTGCTTTCAATTTGCTTTTCTTCGCTTTTGTTTTATTTTGTTTTTATTTTTACATGTTTGTCTCTCCGACAGCAAGAGCCCGGATCAAAAATATCTATCATCCCTTCTTGGATTGTCCTAGGATGTCTCAGTTGCCTGCTGCGGTCGTGAAATTAAACATCGACGAAGTGCAAAATTTATTGCAGCAGGATGGAGTGGACGTGAATGCAAGAGACAGATATGGTAATACAGCATTACACCTAACAAATAATATATCGATAGTTTCGCTGCTTATAAACGCGGGTGCCGACCCAAACTTGCAGAACGAAGATGGAGACACCCCTCTCCACATGTCGTTTGTTCTAGATCAGGTTATGTTCAAAGAGTTTTTATCAGATCATCGCAAATTTTTAGAATTGGTCACCGTGTTGTTAGAGGCTGGGGCATCCCCAAACTTACAAAACAAACATGGTTATAACATTCTTCATTCTTTGTTTGTCTACGGCGGTATTGCTGGGCTCGACTTTGAGGCCTCGTTGATTCATGAGTTTATTGAGCTTCTTCTCCGATTCAATGTGGATGTGAATATGCCAGATTTTGAACAATGCACTCCGTTGCATCATGCTATCAAAGAACCACATGTGCTTAATGCTGAGCTGCTTTTGAGATCAGGGGCTCAAATCGAAGGTCGAGATTTTCGCGGAATGACATCGTTACAACACTTGTTTCACTCCGATAACGAAGAAATGATCCAGCTTTTATTGCAAAGCCAAGCTGAAGTAAACGCACAAGATTTAGATGGACGTACAACTCTATCTACCGCAACAGAAGTTGGAAACCATGTTATGGTCCGATTGCTTTTAGAGGATCCTCGCATCTCCATCGACCTTGCGGACAAAAACGGCACAACCCCTCTCCACCTTGCAGCTGTCTTTAAACGCGTCGACATCATCGAAATACTCATCCAAGCCTCCGCGGACGTGGATGCACTTGATTATCTAAACAGTACCCCTCTTCATTACGCTGCCTACGGAGGAACACCAGAAATTGTTACTCAGTTATTAGAGGCAGGTGCGAACGACAAGCTCGCAGACAATGCTGGCTGGCTTCCAGTACAGTATGCGTTGTCCAGGCACTATTACCACACCGCTTTGAGATTTG